TTCCTCACGTCTTTTATTACAGATTGATAAATAGTGCTCCTATTTCGCAATAAGAACGAATTATTTATCAAAAAGTAATCAAGAACTATCTATCAATCTGTGATAAAAGACGTGAGGAAATTCTGTTTTTTAAAGACACAAATTTTTGAGGCAAAATACCCAAAAAGAAGTTTGTAAACGGAACATTTTTCCCAATTTTTTGTTACAAAAGTTTGTTTCTACCTGTTTTCAGAATCTTGCACACGGGGGAAATATAATTAATATTTTTTATACTATGCACTTGGATTGAGAAGCAAAAGTGACCCAATGAGAGTCACAACGAAATTAGTATAATGAATTAAATTTCCTATTTTTTATCGGATACATACATACATTTTCAATAAATTGCCTGAATTTTTTCCGGTAAATTTACATTATGTCAAGACAAAAGCAATAAATTTGAATGCAAAAAACTTTCATTTATATAATCTACATGCTACAATCTGCGGTACCAAACGCAAATCAAGCGATTTCCCGTATATTTAATTGTGTTGCTTTCATTTGTTAAGAACGCAAGTGGTAAGCTAATAACACATAAAAAATCAATTATTTAGCATGACTTTGGGAATATTGTTAGGCGATACCAGAATTAACCAGATCTTTCCAACATTTTTTGCCTTTTAAGTAAATTAAGCATAAAAAATCGAGTATTTACAACAATTTGTGTTACGTCTGACATGTGCGACTTCTGCTACGCAGTTCTCTTGCAGAGGTCGCTAAATAACCCGCAGGTACACAGGGAGGGGGTCTTGCGATTGAAAATTGGCCATTTTCACATAATCATAAATAGTTCAAATGAGACTATTGTTTTGAATTTTTATCAGCTTTTTCTCCTCTTATATGTGGAAATTACTGTTGGTCGTAATAGATATTACCGATATTTGTCGGAAGAACAAAACAAACATTTTTTTACAAATGAAACAAGCACAAACGCATCTTTAACTCCCTGATGTATATTTAGTTATATTGATTGTTTCATTACATTTCAAGTTTGCTTTCCTTTGTTACTACCATCAGCTAGATACTTATACAAATGCCCCAATTTCGACTAATCTTCATTAGTGAAAAAGACCCTTTTACGATGTTCTAGACTGATAAGACAACACAGAAAAGCTACGAATATGCAAT